CAGGTTCGAACCCACCACCTTCCATATATGGGGCCGGTGCCCTACTCACTGAGCCACAGACGCTACCCCCTATTCAATTTACTTTCTGATTTGGGCTGCTTTATTCTTATGTCAGGTGCTTGATATCTCCTCTCCCTTTCACTTAAGTTTTGCCAGAGTTTAGATTATATGTTGAAGCACATTCAGGTGCTTGAGATCACGCTCCTTTTCACTTGTTATTCTACAGTTTAGGCAGTATGTCTAAGCATAAGTCTAGCTCACATTTAAGCATGATTAATCAATAATTGACAGGTGTGTCTAGTCTTAAGCTTGGAGCAAGTGCTTATGAAAAGGTCTTAGATTTTAGAATACCCAAATTGGGTTGGTGAGAGGTGTGCCATTGAGTGGGAAAAGTGATTGATACCAGGACAGACCAAAACACAAACGTGGTAGATCTTAGGTTTTTTGCTTTGGCTCAGTGTTGTTTAAATGTGCCAGGATCCAGGAGACTCTGGGCCCCAGGGTGTTTTTGCTTTGTTACTGCAAACACAGGTAGCTAGCTTACTGAGAATGACCTCTGCTGTATCTTTCTAATAAATTAGTTCTTGTCTACCTCTCTGTCTTCTTTTATGTAATTAGTTATGTTCCAGAAAGTCACCATGAACATGGAAATAGCAGATACTGAACTGTTGCTCCTATGGGAAATAAAGTGTTATGTTCCTGCAAGCCTCTGGAAAAAATGTTCACAGCATTTTTGTTAACTGATCAATATATAATTTTATGCACGTCTGTGTGAAAACACTTTCTAAAGTATATGTTGTTGATTCAAACATTGAAATCATGGCCAACAGCATGTAACTGTGCATAAATGAAGATTATCTAACACTTCGTATTTTCTCTGTAAGGTACATCATGGTTGTCTTAGAGTTAGTAACCCTAGAAAGCACTTCAGCACCATGCTTGGGGACCATTTTACAAGAGTAAAATCAGTAAAAAGCACAAAAAGAAAAGGCACTGACCAGACTAAAAAGGACACTTGGTTACAGCGTAAAAGCTGAAACAAGAATGTGCAATTCCAGAAAACTAAAATTTTTCACCGTTGTGCATATGTTTGCAAATGACTGAAAGTGACGTGAGTAGTGATTTTGGGGATTCAGATTCTAGTAAGTAGATGAATTTTGAGATACGGAATCCCCAAATAATGAGAGTAATGTTGTTAACTATGTATTTGCACATATATAGAGTAGACTCTCCATGGTTGACCACCTCAAGTTGAGTTGACCTAATTTTCATTGATGAGACTGTACCACATACCAGCACAGTAGGTCTGCTTCCTTAGGTTCACTACTTGCACATACTGACCCATTTATGATAGCCCCTGGGGTGGTCATGTTGTAGAGCTTCTACTGTATTATATTTCTAACTTATAAAATCCAAGATTCTCAGTAGTAAATTTACATTGTGTGTTTAAATTGTTGGTGTAGTTTCTTCCCTGAAAGATATACTTCGTCTCTTAATGACTTTCTAGTCAAGTACTTTTCAAATCTTTGAAAATGCTGACAATCTGTACGTTTTTAGTTCCTATTTAAGGTGTAGAGGACTGATATGGTGAGCCTTTTTATGTTTTTTCTCAAAAACTGTTTAGTTCAGTGGTTCTCAACCTTCCTAATGCTGCAGCCCTTTAGTACAGTTCCTGTGGGTCGCGACCCACAGATTGAGAACCGCTGGTTTAGTTTCAGGAGTCTATGCTAAATAAATGCCAATTTTTAGCTGCAGAAATGAGATGGATTCCTGTTAATTTTAGCTTAAACTAGTATCAAATTGTCAAGCAAACAGGATTAATTCAATGTAACCTAAGTTTTTATTAAAACATCTTACCATGAGAAGTCTTTGGTGTTGGCTCCACGCCTGTGGCTCAGGCAGTTAAGGCACCAGCCACATACACTTGAGCTGGCGGGTTTGATTCCAGCCTGGGCCGCCAAACAATGACGGCTGCAACCAAAAAATAGCCGGGCATTGTGGTGAGCGCCTTTAGTCCCAGCTACTTGGGAGGCGGAGGCAGGAGAATCGCTTGAGCCAGGAGTTGGGGGTTGCTGTGAGCTGTGATGTCACGGCACTCTACCCAATGCGACACCTTGAGGCTCTGTCTCAAAAAAAAGTTGTCTTTGGTGCTAGTCTGAGGAATTTAATACTGGGAAGGAGTTGGTCCTTGATACAAAATGGATCTAAAGGAGGATGTTGAGACTGGGGAGTCAGCAAGAACTTGTTGATACGATCTAATCATGAGGTTCTGGGGGCTGGAAAGGAATGACAGTGTGACTGTGGTAATGTGGTGTGATTGAAGCCTATGAGGGTTAGCGTCTGGCAGTAGGGGCAGGAGTTTACTAAAAGTAGCTGGGTAGTTCTCTCAGAGTTAAATGCTTACTTAAATTAGGGTCAGTGAATTTAGTCTAAATATTAGGCAATTTTCTCTCGTTAACTTTTATAGGGAGGTTGTAAAATATGCCTGGTTTTGCAACATATAAATGAACGGAAAAATGATGGGTTTAAGTGTGCTATCTCATTTGCAGAAATCATCTGTGGCTGCCCCATAACTTCTAAGTTGACTTTCCCCAAAGAAGACAGGATAGAAGAAGGGGAGGATTTTTCTACTCCACAACCACAGTAGAAGCTCCATAGTTGAGCACCTCCTTACAGTGATCACCTCCTTACATTGACCTAATGCTCGTAAACCGGACATGCATGACATGTACGTATCAGTAGGCCTAGTTCCTTAGGATGACCGCTCCATATGTTGACCAGTTTGTTACAGTCCCTTGGGTGGTCAACTTACAGAGGTTCTGCTGTATATATGAAATGCCTTATGTGTACTGGGCATTGTTGGTTAAGTGCTACTTAATGTAGTGGATAATAATAGTGGAGATACTTCTCTGTCCTTATGGAACTTACAGACTAGTGTGAAAGACAAATGTTAAACCAGCATAGTAAAATCACTAAGTTAATGTAGTTAACCTAGGTGTCATGAAGTGAATAAGTGCTCAAGGTGTAGATTTGGAAATCAAGGAAGGCCTTGATGTTTTAGCAGAAACCTTGCTGATGCAACTCTTGGATGGAGGTACCATTTATAAGGGAAGGAATGGTTTTTGTTTTTTTTGAGGTGTTGGGAAGATATCCAGTAGTTCCAGACATGTTTAGTTGAGATATTTAGTAGGAAATGTTAACTAGAGAGTTGGGTATGTGGTCTGGAAAGAAGCATTTGGGCTTAAAGATAGATACTTCTGATCACTGAACATTTGGCTATTATTTAAAGCCCTGGGAGAGGATGGATGTAGGAGGAGAGTGGAATGAAAAGGTGCTCACTGAAGGACTTTGGAGTGCATTGGTCTCCAACAGTAGGGACCAGAATTCCTCAGAGGACATGATAAATTTAGCACAAGGTGCTGAACCTGACCCCTAATGTTTGATTAGATCTGGGTGAGGCCTAGAATGTTCATTTCTGCCTCACTTTCCCCAGTTATACAGATGTTGCTGGTCCAGGAACCACTGATTTAAAGCAGGCAAAGAAGCAGCTGCCTAGAGCGGGTTTGAGGAAAAACAAGAGAATCTGATATGTGGAAACATAAGGGTATTTCAGGAAGGGGATGGAGTAAACAATTGTGTTGCTGAGAAGTCATCTTAATGGATTACATTTTTTCTCTTGGCATTTACAATTATTCATACTCTGTCCTTAACCCATCTTCTAAATCTTGTCTCTGGTTACTTGCTGGGTGAACTCTTCGCTCCAGCCGCAGTCTGTTCCACCCTTGACTGAATTGTGCCCTTGCCTGGCGTTACTTTTGCACGTGTGATTCTTGCTCCATCACGACTGGTCATGATGGCTTCCCCGCTTTGTGGACAGTTACAGCTTTTGCTTTTTGCTGTTTTTCCTTTTATCATGTTTAATCTTTTGTCTTGAGGTACAATTTTGTAAGCACTTGGAAACACTAAGGTGGTTGATAATTGTTCCTCTCCTGTTGCCCCCTCCCCCCAGCTGATAGTAAAATTCTCTAGGCTAAAAGAACTCTGTATTTTTTTTTTTTTTTTTT